TGTAGGAGAGTTAATTAGCAGAGCAGGGGGGGGAAGTAAAAAGGAACTTTTTAGCGTTTCAGGGATATTGTCATGAAATGACTGCCAAATAAAATTAAAGAAACTCACAGATTAGAATAAATGACTGGTGCAAGTTGCTAATTAACTGAACAAATCTTTGGGAAACAGAGCAGTGATATAAGACAACACACTCATTCCCACAGGTTAAAATTATCAGAATTTCTGACAGAGCTATCAAAAGACATTATGGCACCTTTGACATGAGCCTGCAACTCTGAATGGCAATCCTAAATTTAATAATCAACATGTTTTTCCTTCAGTGATACCTCAGATCCACCACCTGAGGCATTTGCCTTATTTTGCTAGATGGGGCAACACATTCAAATTAGGAACAGAAGCAAAGGTGATAAACTAACAGGAAGGATTCGAAACCGGCGGGACCAGAAATTCACAGAAAACTGGAGTAAATTTACGGACTATTCGAAAAGTATTTGTGAAGATCAGACGACGTTTGTAGGTTTGCAAGAAGTTTTGTGAGGAGTATTATTGGAAGTATTGCAAAAATGGAGAAGGGAAAGGATGATTTGTTAAGAGATGTAAAGGCAATATAAAGTTAAGAAATGCATAAGAAGTGGTTAAAACGGTGGATCATCAGAGGTGCTGATGGAAGTCTAAAAAGATTGTATAAGTGATAAGTTTTGTGGTACATTTTATAATTTATATGTTAAAATCAATAAAAATTATTTTTTTAAAAAAGGAACAGAAGCAAAGGTTTTAATTAATTCTTACATGGAGCTGACTATATTGTCTGTAAACCTTTCTTTAACTGGCACAGTGCCAATGAATGATAATAATAATAATAATAATAATAATAATAATAATGGTTGAACCAGCTATCAGAACCTGGACATGGAAATTTGAGATCTTAGGAACATTTTCAGCAGTTATTTACGCTGGCCCATTGTTGACTTCAACACATAACATATAGTAATGAAAGTATTTCCATAAGCCATCTAGAATTGGCAAAAATTGGCTTCCCAGCTTTGTCAGCAGGGCACCCACTGAGTATAATTCTGTTCTGGAGATATTCTCATAGGCAGGAGCAAAATTTAAATCCAACCATGACATATTATTTCTTTTATTTGCAAATATATAATCAAAGTATTGTAGAACAAGTAGCATGCCTGCTGACATTGTGTTGAATTCTCAGCAAGCTGTTGTTGCAGCCTCCAAGGCTGCACCTCAGTTTGTAGCTAACTCTCAGATATTTCTTCTTCGTGTTCAAAACTTTCAAATTCTCCTCTATCTCTGGTCTCACTCTCAATCTTACAGTCTGCAGGTAGATTGCCCATTCAGGATAAATGTCCTCTGACCATTAGTGAATTTCAACCAGTGACTTCTGAATGTTGGCAAGCAATCAGCTCTCACAGCTGGTCCCAAAGTTTCCATAACAATGTGGAGTGGAACACAAAACAGTAAGATGAAAAGTGGCTATAAACTCTGTCCAACCACTGAGAAGTTAGAAAGAGAGACTTCTGGTGGCATGATGAATACTAGGAACAGTCAAGCATCAGAACGCTTCTCGCTTAATTGGCATATTGCCTGTGTAGTCATTCCAGGGCTTCAGCTGAAATGTTTTGTCTCTGAATTATGTGGCTATTTTTGTACAGCAGATGCTCCAAACTAACTTCATTTGTTTTCTTTTGGTTTGAGAGGTGGGCGTGAGATAGCCAGCATTGCTAAAGGGACAACAAACAGTTCTTATGTCTGGTAAGAAGTTTCAGCTGTACAACCACAGAAGCAAAAAAACCACCAAATCCTGTTTGTGGCTTGAAACACAACAAGGTAATTTCTCTCAGCTTCATTTCAACCCAAATTTGTGCAGAGTTGTCCACATCAGAGAAGCGGCAGGGATGTCTTCATCTGACGCACATGACTTTATTGGTTCCTGCATCCTTCCTGGAACTCTTATTCATTAAGCTGTCATCTGAACTTGCATGTTCATGTGTCTGAGTGATGGCAGTTAGGGTATGCTCATTTTACTGCTTACTCCACATCCAGTTTCCTAATTGGATTGAAGGTGGTTGGGGCGGGGGACGCATCCAACAGCAGTATTTGTCAAGAAATTACAGGATCTATATGTGTTGTGGCTAACATTGTGTGAAGGGGGCTTCAAAAATTAGCAGTGGAAGCACACTGGATGCATAATGTGTAGTAATGTGAATGCAACCTGAGTTAGGAGAAGTCTGCACCAGATTGGCTGTGTCCTTAAAAGAATACATGTGCATAGTCATATAGTTACAGCTTTTTAATTTCAAGGGGGTAATTTTGAAAGCATAAAAAAGCTTTGCTATGAAAGCTCTTAATAACCCTTTAATTATTATACCAAACATTATCCAGTCCATTAACTTTAACAAGTCTGTAGCCCTTTGATGACTGTGACCTGATTCAGCAGCAACCATTATCTGGGCAATATAGTTGCTACTGGAACAATGTGGAAGCCTAATCACACAGTAAGCTATTTTTAATTTTTTAATTTTATAAATTTCTCCCCTTCCCTTCAAAAACATCTAAGGTGACTTCTAACACTCAGATGTTCAAAACCAAACTAAATTAATCAATGTACATGATAGTATATCAAAGCAGCAATAAAAAGCAGGCAGCCTTCAAATCCCAATTAAAACTTGCTGTTTTTTTAAAAAAGAAAAAGGCTAAAGCTCAACACAGAAGTTCACTTCCATAGTTTGTCAAGGAGTATATTTCAAAATATTGGGTCACTGCAGAGAAGGCCCTGCTTTGCTCTGCACCTGTTGTAATTTGCCCTTCTGATAAGCTCCTCAAAGCTTGGGTTTTCTCCGGTGGGGCTGAAATAAAACTACAGGGGCATCACTATGATCATGTGGTCATGCCCCTCAACTTATGCCACCAGGCATAAGCTGACTGAAACAGCACTTAGTACTCATTTAAGTTTATGACTGATTGCCACAATCACTTATGCATTGCTTTTACTTCACACACACACACACACACATACACAATCACAGAATTGTAGAATTGGAAGGGACCCCAACGATCACCTAGTCCCACCCCCTGCAATGCAGGTATATTTTTGCCCACATGGGTCTCAAACCCACAACCCTCAGATTAAGAGTCTCATGCTCTACCAACTGCATTATCCCATACATGACATGTATTTCTGAAATAGTTCAATGGCTGGCTGTCAGCCATGGCGTGATTGCTTTCTGCCCAGAAACCCTGTGGACAATGCCATTGGTGGGATTCTTTTTACCTTTGAACTTGCCTAGCTTTTCAGCCAGCAACAATGGAGTAGGAAGGATGCTTGCCACAGCTCCACTGGCTACTGCTTTGTTTCTGGGCACAATTCAAAGTGCTGGTTATGAAAGACCATATTCCCTCATACGAACCTGCCCAGGCTTTGAGGCCCTTCTCTCACTTGGTAAGGACACAGGAGAGGCCCTTCCCAGAGAACCTAGATTGCCTCCGTCCTTGTTCCTTCCACTGGCAGTTGAATACTATCTTGTTCCAACAGGAACTGACTGTTTTTAAAGAGCTGTGCTCTTTTTATTGTAATTACAGTGGTACCTCAGGTTACATACGCTTCAGGTTACCTACGCTTCAGGTTACAGACTCCGCTAACCCAGAAATAGTGCTTCAGGTTAAGAACTTTGCTTCAGGATAAGAACAGAAATCGGGCTCCGGCGGCACAGAGCTAAAGTGGTGCTTCAGGTTAAGAACAGTTTCAGGTTAAGTATGGACCTCCACAATGAATTAAGTACTTAACCCGAGGTACCACTGTATTTGGATAGTTTTTAACAGATCGTGTGTGTGTGTGTGTGTGTGTGTAGTTTTTTAATGTTTACCCCAATGTTTTTAGCTGTATTTATTTTAATATGTAAGCTGCCTTGAGTCCCTGGATAAATAAATAGGGAAGAAGAAGAAGAAGAAGAAGAAGAAGAAGAAGAAGAAGAAGAAGAAGAAGAATGCAACAAACTGGCCCTTTTGAGCGCAAGCATTCAGAGATACATGGAAAGAACTCATTGGGAAGCAGTTCTGGCACCACCGCTAGTAATGTATGATACAATCCAAAGGGTTTTGACTTTGGAGTAAGAAAAGTGCACATGGGCATCCGGGTGCCATTGTAATGGACACTACGCTAGCATATTGTGTACAGTGCTGGAAATATGTAATGAAATAACAGATCACAAGGGGGTTGAGAGAGTGATTGTCAACTGCCTATGGAAGATGAAGATTAGCATGAGACTGCTATCTTAATCCCTGTTGTGGGAAAGACATATGAGAAGTGTTGCGTGTAAATTCTTCCAGATTTAATCAGCGGAATAAAGCACAACAGATCAAACACATGCAAAATATTATTCACAAGTTACAGTAGCCATCAAGCTGCTACTTAGAAAGGGAGCCAGTGTTGTGTAGTGGTTAGTGTGTTGAACTAGGGTCTGGGAGACCAGTGTTTGACTCCCCACTCAGCTATGAAGCTGACTGAGTGACTGTGAGTTAGTTGCACTACTCAGCCGAACCTACCGCACAGTTTTGAGTTCCTTGGAGGAAAGGTAGGGCATAAATGTAATAAATAAATAAATATGGATGGTTTTCACACTGTCAGGTCAGTGTCTTGAGGGGAGACATGACAACTGTCTTTGAATATATGATGAACTATGATGGAGCAGACTTGTTCTCTTTTGCTCCAGAGGGCAGGACTTGAACCAACGAGTGGAAACTATAGGGAAGCAGATTGCAATTGAATGTCAGGCGAACTTCCTAAAGGTAAATTGCTCTTTAGCTGTTAAACTGGCTGCCTTGGGAGGTGATGGGCTGTCCTTCACAGGCAGAGACTGGGTAGCAGCCTGACAAAGATACTGTAATTGCATCCTGCATTGTAGATCCTGCACTGAGCAGGCGGTTGGACCAAATGACTTCCAAGTTCCTTTCCAGCTCTTGATATACAAGTACATTATCACAGCTGGGATAGCTCAGTTCGTAGAGCTGGTAGAGCATGAGGCTCTTAATCTCAGGGTTGTGGGTTCAAGCCCCACATTGGGGAAAATATCGCTGCATTGCAGGGGGTTGGGCTAGGAGGTAGTCCCTTCCTCTTTGTCCTTCCCGACGCTTCAATTCTCTGGTTCTGTGTTGCAGTGGTATACACTACATTAGATAGACACAGATTATCTGAAAAATAAAAATGAGATTTCAATAGCTATTCAACAGGATGTCTATTTTGATACCAATAAAATTAAGTTTCATGCAACATGTATTTTATGTGACAGGAGAAAATAAGGTGCGTATAATTATATAGACATGAGAGAGAGAGAAGTTGACAATAAAATGAAACAGGCTTGGTACTGAGGTACCAAAGAGAGAGAAAACAGTGTACCTCACTGACATCACAATTTCATTGAATGATAAATCTTAGAAAACCATATTGGCAACACAAACAAACCAACCTTAAAAATAAGTGTACCGCTCACAAGGTAAAGAAAATCCGAACCCAAAGACAATTATAACATTTTTCTTCTTCACGATGCATTTCAGTAATCTCAAAACAACTCATTGGATGCTTCAGTTCCAACTTCAAGTTTTATGGGGCCGTTGGGCAAGGAAAGCTTTGAGGAACTTACCCATCTCTACTTGCCACTGCTTGCACTCTCTCAGAGGTCAAGGTGAACATGCAGCTACAGGAGCAGGGCCAAGAAGCTCCTGATGTTATCAGCAGTCCCTCTGCTGGGCTGCAGGCTTCAGCAGGTGTCTGATAGTACTGCCTCCTGGTGCTGGCCCTGGGATGCACTCCACCCGGGGCAAGATCTTAACAGTGTTCATCAGACTTGGGAAAGGGGTGGGGAGAGGAATTAGGTCTAATAACTCTGCTCCATTCCTATCTGCATTCACACCTATGTGTGAAAGCACCTATGTGCATGTAAACTGTATGTGCATTTGGGGAAACTTTGAATAGGTAGAGTTCCTGAGCCCATATGTATACACTTTGGGTGCTTTTGAAATGATTAAGCTCTTTCAGACATGCACCAAATGTTCCTAAGTTTGGATAGGGCTAGTGATTGTGAGCCTGAATCCCTACTCCTCTCTATGTATGTTCAGATGAGATTCTGAGCAGTTCAAATTGTTATGCTTATGGTTAGCCGCTCTGGATGCTAAGGGGCAGTATAGAAATGTGTTACTCAAAAAATAAAGCAGTGCTCTCACTTATCATCTGGAAAGTTAGGAACATATTGTCTGATGGTAACAGAAACAGTCAAGCATTATTACACTCAGCTAAAATGAGCCATGAAAATGATTGCGCCTGTCAATGCTGTGTCATAATCTATCATCACTACATCATGAGACACTGATCAATACAAATACTACCAAAAAAGAAAGGCAAATGTAGCATCCTAATATTGGTCTATTTTTCAAACTGAATTCAAATTTTAATTGCACATAACAGTGTGTGTGCATGTAAGTGTATGTGGTACCTTTTCAATACAGATTGGGGGAATAGTCAATATTTATTAGCATCACACTCACACAGAAACAGGAGGCTGAAGTACTTTAACTATGAAGTGATACTCAGAAATAGCTGAGATCTTTAACTGAGGTAAACTGGCATAATTGCCCCCAAGTTCACATTGCAGAAAATATAGCTTATATTTGGCACATCACTCAAAGCCTTATTCTTTCCATCTATTTTTTTTCTAGTCTAAATGATTACCTTTACATGCCTCCTAAATCTTCTGCATTATTATGACAATGCTTCAGGTTTTACCAGAATAAGAACTTAAGGTTTTCATTTTTCGTTTGGTCACAGCTTTCAATGCATTTATTGAAAATGGAATACAAGGAATCCCTCTTCATGAACCATGCTGTCCTATTTTCAGTGATATCCCTAGAGTTACGAAACAGGATTTAGCTAGTCAGTTTCCTCTTATCAACTGGAAGAAGAAGAAGAAATGTTCATATGCTTTAAAAATTAAAGACCTTGGTTAACCATGTTTGATGGAATGAAAACCTTCCATTAAAAGATGGATTCTACTCTTTCATTTTCTGCTAGTGATTTCTGGATAAAATTTCAAAACTGCCTTTTTTCTTTTGCTTACAACAGGCAACAGAAAGGGACAACCAACAGCGGGAACAGAAATGCTATAAAATAGCTTCATGGCTTGTAACTAGTAAATGTGAAAATGGTTTTTACACCTGCAAATGCATTTAATGCCTCTGTCTGTACCTTTGTGGTAACCATGTTTTTACATTTATTATTATTGTTATTATTATTATTATTTCACATTGCCGTCACTGCACAATGTGATTTATATGTATTGTGTTTTGCCTTTTTGCATCAGTAAAATAAAACAAAAACAGACCTCTGTCTCAAGGAGCTCATAGTTTGAAATTTGAAAGTGGAGAGAACTTAGGAAGGAGAAATGCAAGGAGAAATGTATAAGGAGAAAGGAATGCAGTTACACCAGTGATCAAAGTGGGATGGGATGAGATGCTATTCCAGTTATTTTAAGGCAGTCTTGCCTAACCACCCCCTTCCTTTTTTCTGCCAGTTTTGACAGTGAGTTACATGCAGACTTCATTGCTGTTGGAGGTGAAAACATACCGGTAGATTCTGGGGAGGAAATTGAAGGAAAAGACAGGCAGGGCCATAGTGTGGTCACATGTTGAACGGACCTCTCTTTGAAACACTGTCTAGTTCAAGTCCAGATTGAAGCTAAAGAAACATAAGACAGGAGAGCAGGAGCCTTGAAGCTGCCCATCAGCAGTTAGGACTGGACAATCTTGCGCAACACTTTGCAAGCGGCTTACCAAGACCTGAGGAGCCCCTTTTAGCAAGACTTGCAGAGTCCTGTGCACAGTGCTTTGCAGGCACCACCAATCAGCTGACACCCACTATTAGACCTGTGGGTCCCCACCCCTGGCTTAGATGCATATTTCTCACATGTGTCTCACACAGCAGAGTGATATTGACCACATCACCATGTCCCCTTCTGCCTAGGCTGCAATCCTGTACCCATTTACCTGGTAGTATGCCCCATTAGACACAGGGACTTACTTCTGAGTAGAAATGGCTTACCATTGTGTTGTTGTTGTTTAGTCGTTTAGTCGTGTCCGACTCTTCGTGACCCCATGGACCAGAGCACGCCAGGCACTCCTATCTTCCACTGCCTCATGCAGTTTGGTCAAACTCATGCTGGTAGCTTTGAGAACACTGTCCAACCATCTCGTCCTCTGTCGTCCCCTTCTCCTTGTGCCCTCCATCTTTCCCAACATCAGGGTCTTTTCCAGGGAGTCTTCTCTTCTCATGAGGTGGCCAAAGTATTGGAGCCTCAGCTTCACGATCGGTCCTTCCAGTGAGCACTCAGGGCTGATTTCCTTAAGAATGGATAGGTTTGATCTTCTTGCAGTCCATGGGACTCTCAAGAGTCTCCTCCAGCACCATAATTCAAAAGCATCAATTCTTTGGCGATCAGCCTTCTTTATGGTCCAGCTCTCGCTTCCATACATCACTACTGGAAAAACCAGGGCTTTAACTATAAGGACCTTTGTTGGCAAGGTGATGTCTCTGCTTTTTAAGATGCTGTCTACACTTACCATTGTAGTGTAAGCTAACTCTACAGTGAAGCCTTGTGAATGCCAGGAGTTCAGTTCCTCCTGCACAGCAGGAGACATGACTACGACTCTTTGCAAAGTTGTTGTATTTTTTATTTGCCATGGGGTGTGGGAGCCCGGCAATTTCTGGGCGACTAATGCATATGTTCTAGGCCAAAAGGGGGAACGGCTAAAACGTTTAAGAAGACAAGAGATCCTAGGTTAGTCTTGTAGAACCAGCAGCACAGTGTGGTGTGCCATACAATTAAAGCCATTATCACATATTTCACTGTACCTTTAAAAATCTAGAAACACAAACTGTTGGACCCCTGGGCATTTAATTCCCAAAGTCCTAAGTGGTCAAATTAACTGTTGTCTAAAGGCAGTAATGAGGAGGGCAGATGTACTACTACAAAGCCACCTGGGCTGGTAGTTAAATGAATATGCAAGGTAGGATTATAATTTCTTTAAGGTTTTCCCACTCTGGCAGAGAAAAATATATATTGCAGGGCAATGTGAGGCAATGCCAGGATTTACTCAAGGGGGAATATCCCCATATAGTTCCCCACATTAGAGTTCCCAGTAGAGCCATAGCAGGCCAGGCGGCTATACTTGCTGGATGGAGACAAGTGTATCATTATGTTAATGAAATTCTGACTGAATCTGTTTTAATTCTTGTTTTTTTAGTAATGCTTACATTTTAAACACTTCCTGGTTTTATTAAAATTGATTTTGCTATATACATGTAGTTTTTATTGTTTTTTTAAAGCCACTTTCACAGTGGAGGCGGGCACATTAGGGCAAATGGGGCACTGCCCCACCAAGCCCAGCCTGCCCTCAGCCAGTGTCACCAGCCTGCCTTAACTTCCAGCTAATCAGCTTCCTCCTTTTCACTCTCTTAGCAGACAGGAAGGTGGGGACAGAACTAGAATTAGTTGGCTCTGCCTGTCCTTGACTCTGGCTCCACCCACTACTCCCTGCTTTCCATGCTACTGGTCCCATACGGCACCAGCCACCCCTGAACTTTGGAATGACTTTGCTCAGAAAGGCAGTATTTAAAATAAATAAATAACACACACACACATCCCCCCAAAAGGAGAAGAGGGCAGAGATTGGCATAACATTTGCATATAACTCTATTTAAATTACACTAAATAACTATTGTAATTTAAATAGGGGGGGAAATGCACTTCATCACAGTGGCGAAGGCTGTGATCAGTTGACTCTCCAGGTGTCCACTGCTGATGGGCAACTCAAGGTTCCTGCTCTCTCTTCTTCATTTGATATATTTAAGCTAGACTTGAACAGACAGTTCCTCAAATAAAGGACTATCATCTACAAAGTAGGACACATGGTCACCCTAAGTTCTGCATTCAGTTCCCAAGAACTGCTGTCCAATGGCTCTGGAAGCTCAAAAGCTTGACAATTCACCCAGATATCAAAGCTCAGAGCTTGTAGCCCTGGAACAGATTGGCAGGGATGACAGGGCAAATTGTCTGAATTTCCCTGCCCCTTCTTAGCTATGGATTTGCGGGATATTACAATTTTTCAATGTTAAGAGTGTCCTATCCACAGTGAGACGAAGGCAGGGACTGCCTACCTATAATAGTTTTCTACATGTAGGAAATTGTTTCCTAGGTGGTCTTTTCTAACTGACAGCAGCTCTTCAGGGTTCCAGGAAGATGTCTTTCCCAGCCTGTAGGTGGACATGGGACATTCTTTAATACTACTGCGGTCCATAGCTTGACACCTAATTTTAAGCTGAAAATTAGCTTTTAGATTTTAGATTTTCCCAAATGCATTCCAGGCACCAGTTCAGGTTTTCCCATATGCATTAAGGCACTCTAAAGGCACAAACAAACAACTGAGTGTCACACATGCAAATATATAGTGCTTTTTTTCTTTAAACAATGTTTAGGGGTACTCTCATTTTCCTACTCATATTTCCTACTCATATTGAAATATTGCCCCTCAGTGAGACCAAACTTAAGATTAACAAAATGTTTAGGGGTATGCCTCCAGCCGTGTCCCCCCAGAAAAAAAGCACTGTGTGTGTGTGTGTGATAAATATAAAATCTGGCAAGTGTGAATGTTTTACTGAAAGCTGAAGTGACCCTTGAAGAATCTTCTGGTCAATGCGACCTTCATTTTGTATGCAAATGTAGGACAAGTGCAAGAAATGCAATGAAAAGTGTAAGTGTGTGTGTGTGTGTGTGAAAATAAAATAAAAGTCTTTTGGGAAGACACCCTTAGCTCCTCCCTATAACCTGCACGCTGAAGAATGGCCTTCTTCGCCCAACTAGGTGCGCGCAAGGACTGTGTCAATGACAAACAGAAGAGATCGGTCCCACTCGACCGGCTCTTCCACGCTTTGCTCCGAGGTGACTTGTGGTGGGAGAGAAGAGAGCTGCTGCTGCTCCTTCCTTGCTCACAACGGCACTTTCTGTGGAGATTTCTCTCCCCCCCGCCCCCCCAATCCGAGCTGCATATGCGTATGAAATCAAGAGCAAGGTTGGCTCTTCTCTTGTCATCTGTGCCCTCAGGAAACGTTGCCTCTCGCCGAGCCTCGGCTGCAGTGCCCTTCTGCGCGCGCCTTCCTGGATCTGGGGTGGGCCGCTGGAAGTGAGGCGTGAACAGAGCTCTTCTCCCCTCAGGGGGGGCGGGCAGGGGAAGAAGCCGGGCACCGGTCGCCTATTGTCACATCGCATCCATTTGCAGCGTGTGCACGGGAGCGCAGCGCCCAGCTAGCTGGGGAGCTCTCTCTCTCCCTCTCCTTCTCTCCATTCCCTTCCCCTTTTCCCAAGCAAGTTGCCAGGCGCCTTTGCGCACCGGACCTTTCCACATCCCCAGCCCAACTTTCCCGTCGCCTTGCTGATTCCGCGGCAAAACAAACATGACGGATTACAAAAGTGGCGGCGGAGGGAGGAGCAGCAGCAGCAGCAGCAGCAGCCGCGCCGACCCTTTGGAACTGAGGCTGGGGTAGTAGCGGGGGAACCAGGGAGGCGCGCCGAGGAGAGCGCGAGACCGACGCCGTCTCCGGCGGAAAAGCTCGCCAAGCCCCGCGCCGCCTCACACTGCCGCGGGCGCAGGTAAGGAGAAGCTTCGCTGCCCCTCTGCCCCACTGAGGGATAAGTAAACAAGGGCTGTTTTTTTTGGGGGGGGGCTTGTGCTGCTGGTTGCCGCCTGTTGGGGTGTTTTGAGGGAGACGTGAGGCGGCCTCAGCGCTCACAAGGTTAATTTGTTCGCCTGCTTCCCTCTCAACTTTGAAGGAACAATTCTCTCTGCGCGCTTACTTGGGAGCAAGTCCCCCATTGGAGCCGGGGAGGCTTGTTTCCCCGGGAATGTGTCGAGGAGCCGGAGTTAACCCTTTCCTCCCCTTCTGCGCCCCTTCCAGTGCCTCTCGGCTGTGTGAATGAAGGAGAGAAAAAAAGAAGAAGAAAAAATAACTTTTAACAACTAGGAAAGAGGCACCTCTGTGTTACCAGGGAGCGTATTTGAAATTAGTTATTCCTGAGAGATGCATGCCTGGGAGGGTGCAGCCGATCAGATACACTTTGTGCAAGTAAAATGCCATCGGTGCAAGTCATCGCGTTTAGCATTTTAGCCGTCGGGGTTCATTCTCGCCAAGGGGAAGCCCATTCATGCCCTGTGCAAATTGTATGCGGCAAGGTCAGGACTTTACATTGTCCATGGAAGGTGAATTCAAGTCTTTCTGCCTTCTTCCTGAACACACATTCTCCTCACAGCCTGGTCTTCTTTGGGTGTTGCCTCGGATATGCACATCTTTGTCCTCTCCTGCAGAGAAGAATTCAGGGGCAAAGCAGGGTTGTGTTTGGGGTCCCCACAAAAGAGACTGACCCAGCTTCTGTATGCCTGAACTATGTGTGCAAAGAATAAGATCTATGAATCCATGGACACAAGTTTCTTCCTCTGTTAGGAAAGGCTGAGAAATAAAAAGAAAAGGTGGGTGGGGGGAAATAAATTCCCTGTTTGTTCCCCCTTGTCTATCAAGTTGCCCTTTATCAATTGCTTATGCTTTGGTAACAAAGAATTCAGTGTACTCTGAAATAAGACCCATGGCAAGTAGCTCAGGTAGAAGAACAAATGGGGAGTATTCCGTTGAGTACGCTGGAAAACCTTGACAACAGGCAGCTCCTCTTGGAGAGTTCTGGTACTTGTTTTTAGCTGCACTGTATATAGTTTATGTTGGATAAGGAAAGAACTGGTTTACTCCTCCCATCAATGATGGGGAATTTCTGCCTTTTATGCTGCTGCTGTTCTTTTTGAACCTTTAACAGAAAGTCAACAGGTGCAAGTGCCTTGCCAGGAAAAAGTATAGCAATTCTTGCTCCCCAAATTGTCATTATAACAATCTACAACTGTAACATTGTAAAGTAGAGTCTACCTCTACTTTAAGAGGTAGACTCTTAATTTCACATTTAGGACCCAGGCCTTCACTAAGAGAAATGGAGGTAATTAATATGCTCTATCCACGCATCGTACTGCTAATGCAGGTTCTGTTGCCTCATCATATCAAGTGCTCGAGGAAAAGTTTGGTGCTTGTGAAGAAATTTGGGGTTTCCACAATCTTGACACAGTAAGGCAGTTTTGGAGCATGGAGTTTTGGTACTTGAAGCTGAAACGTGTGTTTATGGGGGCTTCCCCTCCATTCTTCAACTTTGCCTAGTATAAACAGGGCAAGAGAAAGTTGTAATTCCACACAGCCCTTCAAATGCTGCTTCCGCTTCGCTGCCTAGCCAGAGGCAATACTGTGAGCAGTAAAACTTCCTGATATTTTCAGGTCACAGTACTCCCATTAATTGCATGCATTAATGCTGCTATCATTCTTTTTAACCAGTAGCTAAGTCCCTGTTTTAAAGAGCTGAATTGAGATTTAGGCTGTGAAGTATGCTTCAGTGGCTGCAACATCACTGCACTCAGCTTTCATAGCACCAGTTTTCTATGGAGAGCTTGCTCATAACTGAACCAAAACTGGACTGTTTGCTGCATGACAGTTTCTAAGAAAACGGATTATATGGTCACCTCTTAGACCATACAAAAGGAATATGTATTAATCAGTTTGCCTGATAGGAAAGGAATCCACTGAGTTCAAATCCTGATGCATTCCCCCCCGAAGGCTTCTCAAGAAGATATTGCAGGCTAGTCATCTCTAGTTTCATACTCAGTTCATCTCTCTGAAGTCTATCCATATATGCATTTGCACTGGACTTTAAACTGAGGGTCTGGCTCTAGTACGCATGCAGCAAAGTAGAGTGATAAAATGGGCAGTGCTAATTCAGACTGTGGGTGGGAGATGCCATTTCTGAATGCATAAATTCCTTCCAGGTATATGTCCAGCACTGTGAGCTGGGCTGCTATAACATTTTTCTCAGGTGCTCTAGCTTTTTACTTGGTAAGACCTTTTTTCCACACAAGGAAGCATTCAAAGTATGGGGTTTCCTAAGGGCAGCTTGAAGTGCTGCACTCCATTCCCTGTTTCTACCACATAATTCTTCTGCAAGTGTAGACCATGCCTGAGGAATGAGTTCAAGTGATGGGGACACGGACACACACACAGCAGTAGTAAATTAACTTTCTTCGTGTATCTTCCCTTCCCAAGGTGCTTCTCTCAGGAGGGTGTACTGAACACTTCTTAACCTGTGCCTAACCCTTTTTTGGCTCGAGGGGCACATTCCCTACTGACTAACCCTCTGTCTGAAGGCTGAATGCTAGCAGTCTGTGTGGCCATATTCAAAGTGGGTGTGGCCAAAGTGGATGAGGGGGTAGCTCTTTTTCAAAGTCACAGAGAGGAAGACACACACACACACACACACACACACACACACACAATCACACACACAGCTGATAGACACACTGTCATACATAACAAGCAGCAGACTCACTTTTTCCACACACTCTCTCTCTCACTATTCACAGACTACCTATACTGTATTGCCTCTTTACCCTGCCCATCAGATCAATCTGATGAGGTTTGCTTTTACTTCGTGGGAGATGCTACTGGAACCATCAAGTGTTAAATCTTCCCACCTGCCTTCCCTCCCCCTCCTTCCTATGCCCAGGACCCTTATGAGGAGGAAATACTGCTTAAGTATTTAATATTGGGAGGCTGGATCTGGCCCAGGAGTCACCAGTTAGCTACCCCTATTTATTTATTTAACTGTTTAACCGCCTTATACCCAGAGATCTCAGGGTGGTTCATAGAACAAAATCAAAATATAAAACTACAAAATATATAATCAAAATAAAAACAACAACCCAGTACCCCACCCCACCTTGCTTACAGGGAAAGAAAAGAGCACGCTGCCTCATTGTATGATTTAGTGTCTTTTTTGGGGTGGGGGAATAAACCCATGGATTGAGAAAGGATGGTGCTGGACCATGAAGCCTTAATGCTTACACTGATTTGGGATGAAGTAGTATGGGAGTACTGGAAATGGATAAGAGCTGGAATAATCTTGGTGTGGACCTAGTTCAGGTGAAAAACCTCAGAAGGGTTTTATTGCTGTTTTTTTATGGGAGCCTCCAAAATGGATATTCCTTTGAATCACACTGTTCCTTAACTTTTTCTGTCATTGTTTGTCCTGTATCCAGTCCAGCCTTTCTGTGTCCTATTTGACCTTGTTCAGCTAGACTGGTTTATTATGAGAGAGAGAGAAAGAGAGAGAGATCGAGAGATAAAAAAGCAACTAGGTCTATTACAACATTTTCTTTCATGCTTACTTTCCAAAGAAACAAGCAAAAAAGTAATGCATTGGTTAATGTGTAATTTAACACAGGGCAGATGACTATATGATGAAAGAGTGATAGTTAATGTCAACGGTCCATTTACACATTTTCCGCCTATGTTCTGCTTTTTGTCTGACTTTACTCCCGATTTCACCTTAGTGGGTCATGTCAATCAGAAGTGGGTGGATCTTCATAACCAGAGGGACAAGAGACTTTCCCAGTGGAGAATCATCACTGCAGGCAGAATCCAAGGCTTAATTTAGCACTTTGAGAAGTAGTACCAGAAATCATCTCTGGAACATAACAAAGTCATTACAAAGAATTGAGTGCATCTGAGCATGTGATTTCTTTCCCACAACTGAGTAACCACAGTCAGGCCAACATGCAATCTTGAATTGAAGGTAAGGTTTTTTTAGAGGATAGAGTGTGGCCTCCTTGGATGTTGGATGTTCCTTTCTCTGTAGAAAGGAAGCACTAGAAAGGTGCCTTGCTGAGTTCCCATGGCTATCGGATGCTGGTATCTAGCCGGTCCTGTTGTTTTTAGCTGCCATTGCTGTGTGTTTTACTGGTTTTTAGTTATTCTGTTATGTGATGGTTAATTTTATGTTCGATTCCCTGCCATGGTATTTATGTACAAAGGTGGGATATAAATATTTTAAATAAACGAGAAAATAAATTTGTGATTTATCTATTTATTATTAGAAAATAGGCATTGAAGGGAAATGGCTACAATGGCAAGCCTCAAACTGCTTTCTAGGCCTTAGAGGTTGTTGCATTTTCCCCAAGGGAACGGCCATCATACACCAACTAGACACCACATCAGATGGCTCATGACTGGTTTCCCTTCTGTTGCTGAGGGAAAGGGTGGCTGGTGAATACAAGAGACTTCTTCTCAGCTGCACTACATAGCTTTTATGACTGTGTATAAAAGAAATAATAATAATAGTAATAATAATAATAATAATAATAATAATACAGTAATAATACCTCACCCATCTCAGGGTGGCTTACAGTACATATAAAAATTGTAGCAAAGGTCGTCTCTTTCTCCTTCCTCTGTGCACCCTCCAAATCTCTTCTAGGTTTTGAGGAGGGCTAAGGACACACACAGGTGAAGAGAGTGGGGAAATCCTTGTGTTGATGGGGCATGGTAGTTGAAAACTGCCCAATAATTTGCAGTCCATGGCATTCTGATGTCAGCATGGTGCTTGTTATTACTCCCTCAAAGGCCCCCACCTCTCTTTATTAGCTGCTTATCCTTACTAAAAATGTGCACAGATGTGGGTAACAGAACTTACCTATGTGCCTTTGGGTGTACCTGCCATCTCATTTAAATGGGAACCTCCACTGCTATGGACTGTTAGTAACTCAATGCAGCAGCTCCCTGGGTTACAAATCCCAGGGGTTCTAACAGCGCCTGTGTAGTGCCTGAGTTCCTCCTCTAAATAGTACACTGGATGTGTGCATTCTGCAGTCACATTATTGTTGCCTGTCTGTGTCATGTTTCCATTGGTTTTAAGGCAAAGTCCTTGTCATGTCACAAGTCCCTCAAGTTCATATTAAAGTGGGTTTGGTCCTTTCTCACATAACGCCCTCTTTAAAAAGTATTCTAAAAACCATTCTTTTTTTCTTTCTAGTTCTCTAGTTCTAAATGCATTTATTTCCTCTTTCAACCTTCCTGTTCCATTTCCAAAGGCAATATTTCACACTATCTTATCTCCTTTGGATGGGTTCCTTACTGGGCATTTACTGTGAAACAATCATGCTTTGTTCACACATTTTTAATAGGGCACCTGCATGATTCATGATCAAGACATGCCCTTCCCACATCTTACCTTTTCAGCTTCTAGTTTCTTTTTTTGAAGTCAGAAAATCCAACATTTTAATATGCAATAACATCCGTACGATTTCCTCAACTGTAGATGGCACAGCTCTTCTAGCCTAGATAGACCAGTAATGGGCTGTATAGATGGCAATCTCTAGCCACTTCCTTTCCTGTGGTCTCTTTCTCTTTCCCCTTTCTAGGAAGCAGTTCTAGCACTTTAACCCTCCCCTTTCCAAACATCATTGCTCTTATATCAGTTTCCCTTGCCCTTCAATTCCAGCAGGAAGGGAACAACCTTGTTCTGGAGCGCAGTGAGATTTCCAGTGCTCCCCCAAACTTTGGAAGTTGTGGAAATGGGCTGATCACTTGGCTATAGAATGTTACTTGTATCCTAAGAGTTGGAAAGCAAAGTTCCTTTTCCATTTCCAGTTTAGCAGAATAGCAATGATCATATGCTGCTAAATTGTCCACATCTGGCAGCACCTTTGGTGACTCTGTTGAGAAGACCTGCACTTTCCCCTCAGCCTTTTCCCTTTTACATATCAATTGGTTTTGGTGTGCTGTGTGATTGGCAGGGGAGAGAGGAGGCTGGGCTGCAGGATTACACAGGCTCGGGCTCATTGTTCTACAGTTTCAGCTGAAAGTCAGAGCACTCCCGGGAAGTTTGCCTTCTATAAATACATTTCCTCTTCCTTGTGCCAGCTCTCCTAAGAACCGATATTTTGAGACATGCCACAGGTAAGGGTTCTGTGTACCAAATGGGTGGTTTGGGAGAGGGAAGCTGGAAAGTAACAAGATGAGTTATGGACATGCTTCTTCCTTCAACAAGTGAAATTCATTTTAAAAAGGAGAAATGCATTACACAAGCAGCTGCTGCACATTGCGCTCTTATGCTCCTGGCTTCAGTTTCACTGAAAGATTTTTGTTTACTTTGTTTTACAAGGTGGAGGGGCCTCGCACAGAATAGTATTCGTGTATACCTAGGGCCCTTTCAGAGATTGGAAGTCCTTTTGAAATGTCTGATTTTGTTCAAGAAGAACAAAACTACTGCGTGATTAGTGTTTAATCTTTCAGTAGGAGAATAGGGCAAGGGTCTGCAATCTTTTCTTTTCTGGTTTTCGTATGTGCTCACCCACCCACATGGATGCAGTGTTAAAAGTTGCTAAAGATGGCTATTGTTTCTCTTTGCTAACTTGTTTTTCGCTTCTTCAAAATGGAATGGCACATGTAACAAAGTACTTTTTATTAATGCAAACTTTTAGCTTTACTAAGCCGGTTTTGTTGATGCATGGCAAAGCTGCTGATTTTTTGTTTAGGAAAGTTTGATACGTTGACTTTTTCAAGAATTAAAATGCTTCCACATTAACATTATTTAAAAGGAAAACTGAGAGCTGGTTACCACAGTTGCCTTTGCATGTGCCAAATATGGGCTGAGTTCATCTGCATTATTGCCAAGTGTGCATTGTTGGTTCTCCAATTACCTCAGCATTTGATCAAATTACTGGTCTCTCCATGATGAAATGAGTGAACCTTAGCCAGTACCTAATTTATAAATGGAGAGAGCTATGGCTGAAGCCTTCCATCTCTTTCCTAGGTATCTTGTGTGCTTCCATACTGAGTGTATTCAGCAATAACAGGATAATTAAGGAAAAACTCTCCTTACATGCTCAAAAAGGCACTTCCCTCTTATTTACTGCTTCACATATTAAGTTATTGAATGGAGATTGTGGAGCTGATCCTGGGCACAACTGAAGCCCTGTCCTAAGCAATCTAGGTACACATAAGATGATCAGGCTAAACGTTTATCTCATCCACTGTCATGTCTTACCGTGGCCAGCCAACCAAATGCCCATGGCTGCAATGTTGGTCCCCAGTTGTGAGTCAGGGAATTGACCATGGTTTGCTCTGATCACTTTGCCACACTCCCAACTGCAATATGGATCCACTCAATCTATCCCTTGGGGCACTGGGTGAATTAGATGTTTCTGATGACATTCCAGTTTGTGTTTGTAATTGAATTGCGTTTGTGCTTCCCTGTTGTGCAAGCCAGGCAAGAAAAAGATAGCATGGACACCCTCATGGTGGCCATTGATAATGTGACTTTTCTCTTGAAGCAGCTGCTGTTTCTAAGAGTCTGACTTTTGATAGAATCGTTTTCTGTGCTTTCTCTTGAAACCTTCTGAATCATTCAGCACCTGTCCTTTGAAACCATGTATTCCAGCTATATCGTGATTCATTCTGATAATCAGCTTTGAAGGGACTTGAGTTTACACTGAATGCTTTACTCTGGAATTTTTAAGGTTTAGCACACTTGACTTTATTACCCCAGTGGTCTTCTAACAGCTCTTTAATGTTTCACAAACCATAAAAAGATCATGCTAACTAATTCTGAATGTGGAACTTTCAGAAAAGAATTAGAGAGCCTGGTTCAAGACGTAACAAAGTTGCATAATTGGATTGTTTTCCCTCTGTGTAATAACCACTAGAAAAGGCTACCCTGCACTGAATAATTTATGTTTCTTTTACAGTGGTACCTCGGGTTAAGAACTTAATTCGTTCGGGAGGTCTCTTCTTAACCTGAAACTGTTCTTAACCTGAGGTACCACTTTAGCTAATGGGGCCTCCCACTGCTGTCACGCAACCGCTGCACGATTTCTGTTCTCATCCTGAAGCAAAGTTCTTAACCCGAGGTACTATTTCTGGGTTAGCGGAGTCTGTAACCTGAAGCATCTGTAACCTGAAGCATCTGTACCCCAAGATACCACTGTATTTCTTTTAAGTGGGAATCTTTGGTAGCATTTTTAGATTTATATTTCACTCTTTTTAAAAGTCTTTTTGCTCTTCACATCTCTTGGTGGCTTATGTAATTAATCGTGCAAAAAATAAAAAGTACAATTGGTCTACAACACTCCAAATGTCAATAGGCAGCATAATTTCAGCAATAAGCTGCTCCATACTAGCAGAAAAAAGCTTCACCATCCTCCTAAACAATTAATTGGCAATATAGTATTCTCCGCAAGGGGCATGCCTATGGCAAGCACCAGGAGTGAGGACTTGAGCCAAAGGGTTGTATCCAAAGTAGTGCTAAGTAAGCCTATCAGTGCAAAGATTTCCACCTGGGCAACAGAACTCCCAGCTCTCTTCCATATGCATGTCCCCTAAATATGTTATGGGGTTTTCCCCAATCCTCCAGAGCAGATTTGGGGAGGGCACAGAGGGAGAAACTGAGGTGGGGGGGGTCCTGTTGTGCAAATGGAAATCCTTGCATGGGGTCCCCTCTTCATCAGAAAAGGTCTTTCCAGGGCCTGAGTTAGCAGAGTAACATCACCAGTAAGAAGGTTATACCAGTCAGACTTCTGATAGTAGCAGCACCTTTTTTATGTATCTTGGGTGATTGTAGAAGGCAGTTATAATATGGAAGTTGCAATGAACTTTATATAAAGCTTTGACAGATGACCAGTTTTTGCAATATATTAATGCACAGTTTTAATGAGCTGGTTATATGATTTTTGCTTTGGGTTTGAGCACATCCAGATTCAGCCCCTATTGTGGCTTGAACATGTCTGAAGGAGACCTCCATGTGCCTTTTTATTGCATAACCCAGTGGTCCTGGATGTGCTTTGTAGCCCTTGATAGCCTTAGCCTCCATGAATTTGTCTAGTCTGCTTCTGAAGCCACCACTACATCTTGTGCTAGTGATTTTCATAGTTTTAGCTGTGTGCTGTATTGTATACACAGGGTATGTGACACATTAAATGGCAGCAAACCAGGGTTAGCCACTGAATGCTCAGTGATGCAGGATTGGTTGCAGCTGATATGTACCTCTGTGATACATATATTTTCAAACATGCTTTGCAATGTTAGGTATACACTACTTTTTGGGATACCTTGAATACTCTATTAATTTGAAGATAAACTAAGTGGTGCTGCTATGTACTTAAGTCAATTTATTTCCTATATGCGGAAGTTTCCAAGATTACAGAAGTTCATAGCTTGGGCCTTTTCTTTGAAAAACTGATGTGCTGTCACACCCATTAGTTTGGTTAATGGCAGGTTTTATGTATAAAATATGTTTTATGCTCATTTGTGAGAAAATAAAATAGAAAGTGCTTTTGAAATCTACCTTTTGTTACAAAAGGTATTAGAAGCATTTTTTAAAATAATGAAGAGCTATAATTACTTTTCAAAGGCTTTTTAATTTCATGCCTTAGGAAAGTATAACCTCTGGCAATGTTATTATATGAATACATAAAGATCGATGTGAATAATAATATATAATAAAAGCATGCTTTAATTATATCCAAAGAATGGCACAACTAGTTCTGTGTACCTAAAGGTTATGCAAACAGTAAACCCTCCCAGGCTGCATAGCAAACAGCTTTTGAAATTGAAACAAGTTTCAAACATAGTTTGTGATATGACATTACCATCTGCCTTTCAATAAAAAAAGGATAAATTCCCACTGGACACATCAAAAAAAGCCTCTGGTTACACCTATAGTAGATCTGGATTCCAGCCATTGAATTGTTTACTTATGTCATATTTAATTTTTAACCAGTGTAGGAGAGTTACAGAAGTAACAGGCAAAAGCAACAATGCATCACAGACCAATGTGGACATTCAGGCTGATATTAGAATGACTGTTGCAAATGCCAAAAATAGGAAGTGTACATGGTACACTGGAATAGGAGTATAGATGGGACACTGAAGCCTTCTTCAGAAATACATGTAGAACAGATTCCAACTATATTTTTAGGACACAAGTGCAAAGATATGTGCTGTTTGATAACAGAATAGACATGGTGGTGAGGAAGAAGGGTTGTCTTAAATGCACAAGATAGTGGGTAGCACCAGTATCCCAATTTGTTTCCGTATGAAAAATAAAACTGGGGTGAATAACTTGATTCTTGGACATAACTCTACTCATCAGACATCTTCACTAAAAATTTGTTTAGCTTGGTGTCATGTGGATATCTCAGTTAGTAAGAGCATGAGACTCTTAATCTCAGTGTTGTGGGTTTGAGCCCCACACTGGGCAAAAGGTTCCTGCATTGCAGGGGGGTTGGACTAAGTGATCTCTTCCAACTCTACAGTTCTATGTAGAAGTTAACAGACTGGCTGAGCATCTCGCACTGATGATTAATAGGCATGGCCGAAATAAGCACACGTTGTATGGGCAGAGTCTGCCTGATTATTGAAAATCACATCAAAGGTAGCCATCAGTTGAAATAATGGTTTCTGATGACATTGCTTCCACAGATAATTTCAAAATCAAATTGCAAAAAATACTTTTCTCAGCAGGACCACTTTCAGGAGATAATTAAGACTGGGGATGGATGGAAATAATCTAAGTGAGTAAACAAGGAAATGACTGACCACTTAATTTTTTTAAAAAATAGAAATGAAAAGCTGGACTGAACTAAATACTAGTGCTAGTTCCTTCCCCCCATGGATAGACCCTAGAACAGGGGTGGCGAGCCTATGGCACGAGTGTCAAAGGGAGCACTCGGAGCCCTCTCTGTGGGCGCTGTCGCCCCAGCACAGAGCCAGCAGAAGGCGAGGGTGGCGTGTCAAGTCCTCAGCTCAACTTGGGCAGCTGGAGTGCCATGTGCGTGGTGGGTTGGCGCAGGAAACTGCACGGCCGGAGTGGGATGTAATGCCCGTCAGGGCGCCGACTCTCCAAAATGGGGGTTGCAGCTATTCTTTGGCCCAAGTTCATTGCGCCCAATTGCACGGAGGCTTCCGGAGCATATTGTGGCAATTAGTATTTTGTGTGAGTGGATTGCGGCAATGATTATGGTGGGCCCTCAGTTTCTGATGTTGCACAAGCAGGACAATAAAGAGCTGAAATCCCCAAACTGGCCCGTCTGCTGCTGCACCTTTAGGGCTCCTTTTGCTCAGCCACTCTGCGCGGGATGCCCAGACCGAGAAGGCGCCCTTGTGGCCAGGGAGGCACAAAGGGAAGGGCCAGGTGGGGCATTGGTGCCCCCAAGCAGGTGCACATGTTGTTTTCAGAGGCTGGGCGTGGATCCTGGTACTTGTGTCGCCTCGGGTGGGGCATCGGGTGTGTGTGCAAAATGGAGCCACAACCCCCAGAGCATGTGTTTCCCCTTGGGGGAGCCTCCACTGTAGGTGGGGAGGGCGCACCACTCTGCACGTTCTCAGAGGCATGCTGCCATGTTGGTGGGCTGCTGGGAGTTCCAAGTGGCCGCCTTCCTTCCCCTCCTGCTGCTGCGAGGTTGAGGCATCACATTAATTGTTCAAAAGCATGCCAAATGCAAACTTTTACCTTTCAATAAAAAGTTGCTTGTATCATTCAAAGCTCTGTTATTGTGTTTTACTTTTAAGACAAAAGATGTTAGTGTATGAGTTGTTTTTTCTAAACTAAAACCTCAGTGTTCAGGTTAAATTGCTGTGTTGGCACTTCGTGATAAATAAGTGGGTTCTGGGTTGCATTTTGGGCTGTTCGGTCTCTAAAAGGTTTGCCATGACTGCCCTAGAACATCACACAGAGTGAGGAGATGGGAGATGTTCTGCTGGCAGGTGGAAATGCTTGTGCTGATGGAACTATCAAATTAACACAATGTTGAATTCCACCTGAAATGAAAGTTGTGGGTTATGACTAATTAAAATGCCCTCATAGCCATTTTGCTACTGACTCAACTATAGCCCTTTTTCTGGCTCAGTTCCCACATTCTCCTGTTTTCCGCTATTGTTTCCTTCCTTAGAGTGAATGAAAGAAAGTTCTTAAGAATGTAAGTTGATTCAATTTGTATGTGTGTGTGAGAGAAAAACTTTGTAATCAAAATAGTTTGCTGAGAACTGCATAATGTAAAGCTTATGGGAGAAAGGTAAGAGTGACAATTGGCAGGCTAGGTAGTTATATAATGGGGAACTGTGTTGAATAGGATGGAACTCTATGTGCACAAATGAATGACTTCATGTTCACAAAATTTAATTAGCTGCCACAGTAATTTGCCACTGAGCAGAAAACCTGAGTAAAGAGTTTACATTAGAAGTTATTTGCTCTCTGATTGGAGTTAGTTTGGTTTGTTACTTATTTTAAAGAAATTAACTAAAGCTAAATAGTTCTAAAAAATGGCCATTACTCTGATTTTGTTTATAGATATACATACTGTATCTACAGCTGTATACACATCTGGATTCCAAACTGATTTAAAATGCATCTAGCAATTTAAGCAAGGCAAAAGCTCAAGTTAATATTTTACTAGCAATTGATAACAGGAAAATGCCATTCTAATGACATCATTTGGATTGTGCCAATTCTTAAAACAAGAAAACAGAATCTAATCTGAAGATTGGAATGCAGAAAACTTTCTTCATGAGAAACTACTCAAATCTTCTTGTTTCTTAAGACAGCTTCTGTAAATTGTTTGTTTTATGCCTGTCTTAAATTATGGAGCAAATACAGGGATGGTGAATATATTCTTATAACTGATGTCTCATAAAATGCAACCTGTAACTTGAAATTTTAGATAACAAATGCTCATGAAACTGGAGGATTGCAAATAGGTAGCTGATTTTAAAAAGTATATCTTGAAGACAGCCCCTCTTTGACAGATTTATATTCTCAAAGTAGGAATAATATACCTATCTAACTTTTCAAAATGCTTTCTTACTTGAACCAATAGTATTCAAATGCAGGACTTAGCATTGTCTGTTTCCAATGCCTATTAATTTTGGGGTAAAGGTTTATTAGTAAATTGGTTAAAATAATGGATAATGTGAAATATGACATTTGTTTCCTAAAATAATGAAATGTGCTACTGTATTCTAAGTAGCTGGTTTGTTTTGCAAACTTAACATTTTAACAGTTGAAGTTAAATAAATATTAAAGCAGTAAAACAGTTATGTAACATGCTGATTAAAAGAAATGGAGCAGAGACTTGGGTTTGTTTTTTTTAATATCACAATTTACTGAATTTGTCTTTGGGGAAATCTAACCTAGAATGGTAGAATGAATTCATCCATCCGAAAACAACTTGTGAGGCCATTATGGCTCATAGTACACTGTGGTTTTTTAATTTTTGGAAGCTGCTTGCTGTTGCACTGTGAATATTGAACACAATTACTTTTCAAAGGTAAATTATAGTTTAATAAACAATAAATAATGACCCATACTCTTGTTTTAATTTACCTTAATTCACCTGGTCTCCTCTTGAGGTTAGAGTCGAGCTAATATACCTATCGGTGTGTGTTCAGGGTGGAAAACAAGTTTTTCATCTTAAACACAAAGTGGGCATTTTGTGTCTTTCCTAAGCTACTCTAACCAATCAATAAGTAAGCATTATATTGGGATGGAAGCTAAAACCACCTCTGCACCAGTTGAAAACCTGATGTATCCAATGTGTGCACAGCCTGTGAAGGAAGAGTACAAATACACAGCCAGAAAATACAAAAACTGTGTAAAAATGATGGACACACCTTGGAAATTCTACCAATGCCCACCAATCAGTCCATGACAGCTACATGCAGCGTGGAATCAAATTAACTCACAGTGACTGGGACATGTCCCAAGCACACACCCCTGCATTGCAACACACAATAGGCATGCAAGGAAGAGGCGAGAAGATACACAACACAGCACCCACATAGCTTGCTGGGCAGGATGCCTTCAGAGAGCACACACAACCTTCCTAGGACAAGGGTTCAAGACCACTGAAGGGAGGCAAAGGGTCTTTTGGGAAGCAGCCAAGTAGACAGAACAAGGGTACAGTTGACATGTGCTGATGGTAGCAGCTTCCAGTGGCTCATGCACAGGACACAGGGTTGGGGAACAGAAGAGGGTGATCAAGCCCTTGGAAAGGCAGGGAAGGGTCCACCTCATAGGTGCAACTGAGGCATGCAGGAACAGTGCTGCATGGACCAATGAACTGGCTCCTGCATAAACCCTCTAGACCAGGCATAGGCAAACTTGGCCCTCCAGATGTTTTGAGACTACAATTCCCATAATCCCTGACCGCTGGTCCTGTTAGCTAGGGATGATGGGAGTTGTAGTCCCAAAACATCTGGAGGGCCGAGTTGGTCTGTGCCTGCTCTAGACTTTCTGTCCCATCAGTTCTTTCCTTCTATATGCCTGATAAGGCAGGCCTGCCATGTACTATCTCCGTCTCCATCCACCCGACTGCTTCATACTCTTTGGCAGCAGCACCATATTGCCTGTGCACCTTTGCACTCCAGCTAGCATGAGTGAGCAGGGTGTAGGGGCACCATAGGCCCTGAGCCCTATTGAGGCAAATAGGTTAACAACCCCACAAGAAGAGTTGGGAGCATCCTGGTCATGGGCTGGACCTCTTTAATGGATGACACATATCAGCACTTGATCCTGTGGATCCTGCGACTATAGGACAATTGCTTGTGGAGTAAGGGGAGAGGTGCTGAGAGAATAACAAGCAATTGTCATCAGCTGTACCATGTACAGTGGTACCTCGGGTTACATAAGCTTCAGGTTACATATGCTTCAGGTTACAGGCTCCACTAACCCAAAAATATTACCTCGGGTTAAGAACTTTGCTTCAGGATGAGAACAGAAATTACACGGTGGCAGCAGGAGGCCCCATTAGCTAAAGTTCAGGTTAAGAACAGTTTCAGGTTAAGAACTGACCTCCGGAACGTAAGTACATAACCACTGTACTGTAGTGTACTGTAGTCCCGGGAGCAGGATGCAGAATAGGTGTGAGGCACTAACAGAGAAGAGCGGTGCCACCTGGGTACTTAGCCAGGCCTCAGCCTCTTCTGCCAGGGTGGGTGGTCGTGGGGACTTACCCACCCCTGTTGCAGGTTGTAGGGATATACTGTGTGTTCAGTACCTGGTTGTTCTGCTTCATACATCTAGGCTGTGACCCTGCAACACTAATGAGTGTTTGGCTGGCAGTAGGTTTGAGTAGAGTGGTTGGACTGGGTCTTTGCTTACATGGGTGGTTGAGTGTCTCCCTTGTATGTTACCTGCTGTTATGGGCAGAGGAGAGAGTATCAGAGCAGTATCACTCACACTCAGACATGACACAGTATTCATGA